GATACCCCTTGTCTTATTTCCGCTTTGGAGCCTTTGAATTTAGCCGCCCGCTCAACTGAACCAGAAACCCTAAACCCTGAACCCTAAACCCAAACTGAACCCTGAACCCTAAACCCTGAACCCTAAACCCTAAACCCTGAACCCTAAACCCAAACTGAACCCTAAACCCTGAACCCTAAACCCTAATAGCTTGCATGGAGGCTACCTGCAGGGACAGATCGGCAATCCGGAGGGTGAGGACAAGCCCAACAAGAGCCGCGTGCCAGAAAAATTCAGGGCCTAGGGTGCCTACCCTTAGGGTTTAGGATTAGGGTTTAGGGTTTAGGGTTTCGGGTTTGGGGTTTAGGGGTGTAGGGTTTAGGGGTGTGGGGTTTAGGGTTTAGGGTTTAAAGTTTAGGATAGCTAAAGCCCCAATATTTGGGTACTTGAACCCTCAGGCCTATGAAAAGCCGGAGGCCCTGTTAACACAACACTCCAAACGTGTTTTTAGAAGGCGGTCACCCTAAAACCTACACCCCTAAACCGTAAACCCTAACCAGGCGGTCCCTAGGATCCCTACTGAGATCATGGAAACTACACATGCGGGCTTTCAGTAGCGAATAAGGAAACATAATACCTCTGTGATCCCAGTATACTATCTTCCCGCATTCCCTACTAGGAACCAATAAGTACGTGGCAGATGCCTTCCCAAGAGCCCAAATGTCAGGTACCCAACCCCTGAATACTGGAGGGCCCAAGTCACGGCCTATGGGAGGCGAAGTTGTGTGACACAAAGTGGAACAGAATATGAGCTATAGTCTAGACTCCCTAAAGGGGGACTATATAGGGGGTAATATAGGGGACTACTATAGGGGTTATTAAGGGGGATACTAGGAATTTAGACAGTAGCTCATATGGAAAGTGAACTGGTGACCGGGGATTTGCAGGTATAATGTCCAAAATTATCGTCCCTAGCTCCCTGTATAATCATAGTATATGTTAACATGATATCTGTATGATTCAGACGTTGTATATTCAGTATGCTACGGTGTGGAAGTTTGAGGCTTTGCAGGTCTCTCTGGATATACTCCCCCTTAAATAGATAGAATATGGGGTGTGTGTGTGTGGGGATCTTATTACAATATACCCCAAACCATATTCTGGGGGGGGGGGGACTATATACGAATTTAGGGTTCAGGTCCCTTGGGGGATCCCAGTTTTGTGTTTGACAGTGGGCCGCCAATGTTTAGAGGTACTTTTTTGAGGCGGCAATGGGTGCTGGTAATTACCTAGAATTTTAAACCATCGTATGGTAAGTTGCCAGCATCATGGTTCCTTTTGGGTATCATGGGTACTCAATAAGGCACCATGATTCTGACGACCCCCGTATTTGGGTCATTGCACCTGTACGAAATCAGCCCAGACCCTACACTTTAAACCCAAGCCCCAAAGCCTCAAGCCCAAAACCCCTATTCTAGGTATTTAGCCCACCCAGGCTACTACGACCCTCGCAAGTGGATCCGCGAATGCGAGATGACCATGGTGAAGCGAGTCAAGGACGAGGGTTTAGGGTTCATAGGGTTAGAGTTTAGCGGTTAGGGTTCATAGGGTTTAGAGTTTAGGGTTTAGGGTTTAGGGTTCATGGGATTTTCAGCCAATCCTCCCTAAATATGGGGTACCCCATTAGGGAATATAAGCCTGTAGCCACGAAGAAGCAGGGTGTATATATATATATATATAATTGCTCCCCTACGGAGGTTGCTCAAAACTCGTCCTAAATTCTTCTGGGCAATAATCAAAAGCTCAAGTAAGCTCACCTCTTGCACAGGAATATACCCAAATGCGCCATATTGAGGACTATGAAGTATATTGTCAAACTGGGACCTCTGCAAATGCTTGTCCTCTGCAAATGCTTGTACAAGTCCCCTCTGCGTCCTCCTTCTTCTCCGTGGATGCCCTATGGGACCAACTTCAGATTGCAAGACTCGTATTGGGCTTCCTCCGCTGGCAACTACGCACCCGACATTAGCCTCAGTCGGCCTCTGTCTCCTCCTCTTGCTCCTCCTCTTCCCCCTCCGCCTCTGTCTCCGTATGGTTTTCCCCGCGCACCCTAATCTCCAAGTATTTGTTTCGCTTCTAGCTTTACTAATTCTTAGAGGGAATAAGGCTGTTATATAGGGGTTCTATCGGGATACTACTTATTCGCTTATTCCCTCCTATAACTCCAATATATATCCCACCATAAGGTAGTAGCTTCGGTTTTCTGTAGCAATATCCCTGTATTGCCCCTACAGTCCCTTTTTCCTTGCTAAGCCTGAATCCTAAACCGGAACGCTAAACCCTAAATCAATTCCCTTATTCCCTACTAAGACTCCCTGGTGCATAGGAGGGAATGGGGGAATGAATTATAGGGACTATTATTAGGGATTATATAGGGACTACTATGGGGATCCATTCCCCCATTCCTTCCTAAGCACCAGTAAGTAGTGCGTCATCATCATTCCTGGCACCCGCGGGAATAACGCCAGGAGAGCTGCTCAGACTTGGCGAGACTTGGATGCACTGGTTTTAGGTTTTAGGGTTCTAGGGTTTAGGGTTTCAGGTTTAGGGTTCAGGATTTAGGGTTCTAGGGTTTAGGGTTTCAGGTTTAGGGTTTGATGGTTTAGGGTTTGGGGTTGTGGTGCAAGCGGGGCAGGGCAGCCCGGCTCAAGCATACCACAGCATCGCTAGAGTGACAGGCGCGAAGGGGCGGCAGTGTTTTCTTGTACCAGACGCTAAGCGGCCATGTACCCAATAAGTAGGTACAGGGGACTTTGGTAGTAGTAATTGTAGTACAGGTTTTGGCTTAAGTATATAATTGTTCGGTACTTGGACCCTCAGGGAACTCCTGAGGAATTCCTGACCTGTTAAAGAACCTACCGTCCAGCCTGTCTGTAGCGAGTCTACCAGTGCCTACACCACCTCTTGCGACTGCGTGATAGCTTGCAAGAGCTGCTGCAGGAACACCAACTGATCTTCCTGACTGTCGGACACCAATGTTTGAAGCTCTCCTCTGCGCGGACCCCCCCAGGTCTTTTTCAGTAGGGAGAGGTTGGAAGGTTGCTTCTCACCAGCTTTCCTCCGACAGCTGCGAACAAGCTCCTTGCACAACTTGGAGGTTTTTGGGTGGCTGTAATTGCGGATAAAGATACTTGGTCAAGATATGCAAGCCGCACTTGCAGTCACGGGTCAAGACATGTAAGCCGCACTTGCAGCTACGCATGGGTCTTCAAGAATGGAGCAACGTTCTTGTTTTGGCACCTCTTGCTTTGGCACCAGTCCCGGCGCAAGCAATTGACAAATTGAAAAGGCCGCGTGGTATGGGCAGGTACTTTGAGGTTCATGGGACTTTGTAAATACGTATAAGAACTGGACTATAACAGAACCCATGCAAGTAACCTGCATAAGGCCAATTCAGGGAAATACAAGCGGGGGTATATCCCAATAAAGGTCGTTACCAGGTAAAAAGCTCCTGAGCCCACAATCCCACAAGTTGTTGTGGGTTTTGGAGCTCTATTTTCAGAAGCCCTGGAGTCACCGATGTGTTAGCGCACCTGGTTGTCAAGAGTGACGATGAGTCTATTGTAGAGTTAACAGGAAGACTTATAAGCCGTGCGAGCCAGCCAACTCCAGGGTCGCTTACAGTATGCCCCGTTTGAGTAGCATAGGTCCCGAAACCCTGGAGCGTGCAACCCCAAACGGGATCTTGACGATGAACACGTGAGCTGTAGTCTAAACTCTTTAAAGGGAGGTTAGAAAGGGGAGTATTATAGCGCTTGCCAAGGGGGATACTAGGAATTTCGACCCTAAACCCTAAACCCTGCATTACAGGGGCTGCTAAGGCTGCTAAGGGGATAGTAGGAGTTTAGACTATAGCTCATGTGAATAAGGCCATCTTCCTCAACTCGCAGATGTAGAAGGGGCAGTTCCCACGCCCAAGGACTCCTACGGAGTTCCTTTTTGGGTTCGTTACATTCTTTGGTATGGGATTATCTTAGTGTTCGAAGAAAGAAACTATACAGGAGGTGCTGGGTATATAGTGTTGACAAGAGGACGGCTATAGCCCGCCAACAATCCCAAGGTTTGCTTTTACAATGTTTTAACGAGGCACCCGCCGTGCATTTTGTCACATTAATATCTGTTGCAAACGCTTATGAAGCCTGAACCCAAACCCCTAAACCCACTTTTGCTAACCCTTAAAAACCTCAAATCATGTGTTAGTTTCCCAAAATAGGGGGACCCCAGCATAGACCCCAAAATATTATATTCCTTACTAGGGGGACCTTTAAAAAGGGTACCCCTAATTTTGGGAAACCCCCATGTGTTGCCGTACAGCATGGAGGCGCTGGAGCGGGAGAAAATGATGGCGATCAGGTACAAGGACCACCTTCGCGGTACGGTTTACTGTAGGATTTAGAGATTAGGACCCTAAACCCTAAACCCGGCTTAGGGTTTAGGGAGCTTAGGGTTTAGGGTTTGGGAGTGTTTGGGTTTAGAGTTTGGGGTTTGGGAGGCTTTAAGGTGTAGGAGTTGAGGGGTTGGGGTCTAGGGTCTAGGCAGGGCCTACTTGAGAATATCAACACAGCACAGGGGAGTATGGGGCTGGCTATTCAGGAGTGCATGCAATGGTTATTGAGCCCTCAACCCTTAGTCCTTAACCAATCCCCCCTGTAGTAATGGCTCCTCAATATGGAGTTAATAGGGCCTTAATATACCTAACCCTAAAGCCTAAAGCCTAAACCCTAACCTTGTGGTACCCATTACTGGGTGGGGGATTGACCCAACCTAGACCCTAAACCTTCAACCCGATTATGAAGCCATGCCTTGGTTTCGGGATGTGCCAAAAGGGTTTAGGGTTTAGGGTTCAGGGGTTTAGGGTTTAGGGGCTTAGGCTTTAGGCTTTAGGCTTTAGGCTTTAGAGCTGGGGTGTTGAGGATTCATGGTTTACGGCTCACGGCTTCTAGAGTTCAGGAGTGTAGGGTATAGAGCTTTACAGCTCAAGGGAATTGAATCCGTTTAGAATAAAATCATGCAGTATGGTCTGCTTTGCCGAAACAGCTTTCTTTGCTGTTGGGGTGCGATTGCGCGGTCAGGCCTTCGCAAGACGCTATCCAACTGTTCGAGAATAACGGCTAGTTTTGAAAAACTACCGACCAGAAACCTAGACCCGAAACCCTAAACTCCGAACTGTCTGCCCTTGTCTTATTGGTGCTTTGTAGGGAAGAAGGGAATGCAATACTTAAATCACCCCATACAATATATTCCCTTATATCCTACTAAGCCCCAAGCATAATATCCCAATACAATCCCCAATATACTACAGCAGTTTCCATTTTCCACTATTTCCCTATGTACAACCTTTCTGCCCTTGTGGAAGGAGCTTGACATCTTCAAGTTGGACATCATCGCTCGGGAGCTGAAGTCCTTGGACAATGAGCTGGGATTGGTCGGCAAGGAGGTGGCGTGCTGTCTAGGGTTTAGGGTGAGTGAATGAAGTAATGAATGTATGGAAAGAAATGAGAAACTACCAAAGGGTTGGGTGGTTTTAGGGAACGGATAAGAAAAGGAATAGTTCCGGAATGGAAGCTACTATGGTGGAGGAGATGTCAATGTATGAGCAATGTAGGGGCTACTATAGGGATCCATTCTTCGATTCCCTACTACCAAGCAACCACTGACGGCCTCCGCAAGCTAGAGTTCGCCTTCATGGTCCTTAGCAGGAAGATTCTACGAACTACTTTGGAGATGTGAGGGAGACTTTGATTTCATGGTCTAGTACAGGATTGGGTTACAGCGGCATTACATTGGATGGAACACCTCGACAATACTCCATGTTGGTAGCAATGTTATCACACCTTTTCAGGTCCCAAGCCCTAAGGCCTAACATAGTAGTTTCCATTTTCTTTTCCATTATCCCGAAATATCCCCTGTATAACCCTTATATCCCCTATGTAATAACCCCTTGGGTTTAGGGTTTAGCCCTGAGCCCTGAACCCCAAACCCTAAAAAGATTGTTTGTCAACCTTGCAAGTGCAGGCAAAGTTCCTCCAGCAGAGCGCTGGGCGACTGAAAGACTTTGGCGATCAGCAGCAAATACACCAGTCCTCCTCTCAGTTTAGGGTCTAGAGTTTAGACTTAGGATTTAGGGAGCTTGGTTGCTTGTTCCGTTTATGGGATTAGGGTTTAAGGTTTAGGGTTCAAGGTACCCCAGACGCCTGACCCAACTCTTCACCCTAACTGATGGCTTACACAGGAACTGGTCCGCGAATTGGCCTGATTTTAGCTTCTGATTTTGCGACACAAATGGCCAGTTAACTGGTGCTGAAGGGAGAGTTGGGGACGGAAAAATTCGGCTTGGGACTTAGGGCTCAGGGTTTGGGATTTCGTGAGACACATTTTTGTTCATAGCTTATTTCCATTCTTCCCAGCGGTCGTGTACGTTTGGTCAAGTGGAATTTGTCAATAGTACCGCCTGATGGGGACACCTGCTGCTTGGCTAATGCGGGAGTGGTGCTCAAAAGGCCGCCTTTATCATCCTTTATGTGTACAACTAATTTTTTCGTTTTCAAAAGGCCCTTGTTATCCCAAGATTGCACTTGGAACCCTTATTTTGTGATTTTTGTGAATGGTATTCGTGCTGAGCACCGGTATTGTAATGGTTTCTGGGTAGAAGATTATAGTATACGACCCCAGAAGGAACTGCACTGCATAGGAGTTCCTTGGTGGATCTCATGATGTGTCACAAGGCACTCCCAAGAAAGACGTGTCGTCCAGTCAGGTTTTGGGGGTAGACTTGCTGGACATGCAGTTTAGGTTTTAGTTCGTTTAGGCATGTATTCTGGGTCCTTCCAGTAGCTTTCCTTGCAGGGTTTCCTTCAGGGGCTATTCTATCTCCTATTCCATTTTGTGGTCACTCTTGCTGTACATTGGAATGGCCCAAGTTATGCTGGGACAAGATGAGGGGTTTTGTGGAGATGTATCAGCCGACTCCCAGCCCGCAACCCTATGTTTGGCATTTAGGGTTTAGGGTAGATGGAAGTATCCTTCTATGTGTCCCTCTGGAGACCTTGTAGCA